AAGACCCTGTTGAGCTTGACTCTAGTTTGACATTGTGAAGAATCATGAGAGGTGTAGCATAGGTGGGAGATCGTGTTCGTGCATGATCGTCAATGAAATACCACCACTTTCATCGATTCTTTACTTATTCGGTGAAAAGAGAATTGAGTTTTATGACTCTTTATTTATTTGTGTTAAGTAAAGTCACATGGTGGCATTACGACTCTCGCCGAAGACATTGTCAGGCGGGGAGTTTGACTGGGGCGGTACATCTGTCAAACTGTAACGCAGGTGTCCTAAGGCTAGCTCAGAGAGGACGGAAACCTCTCGTAGAGCAAAAGGGTAAAAGCTCGCTTGATCTTGACTTTCAGTACGAGTATAGACCGCGAAAGCGTGGCCTATCGATCCTTTTAATCCAGAGAGTTTCTGGTAAGAGGTGTCAGAAAAGTTACCACAGGGATAACTGGCTTGTGGCAGCCAAGCGTCCATAGCGACGTTGCTTTTTGATCCTTCGATGTCGGCTCTTCCTATCATTGCGAAGCAGAATTCGCCAAGCGTTGGATTGTTCACCCACTAATAGGGAACGTGAGCTGGGTTTAGACCGTCGTGAGACAGGTTAGTTTTACCCTACTGTTGACATATTGTTGCGATAGTAATCCTGCTTAGTACGAGAGGAACAGCAGGTTCAGACATTTGGTTCATGGACTTGACCGATCGGTCAATGGTTCGAAGCTAACATCTGGGGGATTATGACTGAACGCCTCTAAGTCAGAATCCCACCTAGTCAAGGTGACGATAACTTTGTTTCTCGGTGTCGGGAGGCAATCATATCTCATGACATATGATATGAGAGTTTATGCCCTAGTATATGGCATTATCGGTATGGATAATCCCTGCTGGTTGCCAAAGCCAGAACACTCTGGTTCAATGTCGGGGCGCAAAATCACATGTTTACGACATGTATGCTGGTCAAGGTGTTGTATCCAGTAGAGCAGTGTTTGTATACTGCGATCTGTTGAGACTATCCTCTGATCAGGTGTTTTGTATATGTGTATTATTTATCTGAGGAAAAGAAACTAGCAAGAAGTCACAAAGTAACGGCGAGTGAACTGGGAAAAGCCCAACGCTGAATCTTTCGATGTTATATCGTGAAGAAATATAGCGTATAGGTATGGTTGTCGGTTTTTTAGCATGTCCAAAGTTTCTTTGATAGGGACCATATTCCGGAGAGGGTGCGAAACCTGTGCGGACAGTTGAGCATACCGTATGATTATACCGTAGAGTCGGGTTGCTTGAAAGTGCAGCCTTTAGTGGGTGATAAACTTCATCTAAGGCTAAATACGAACGCGAATTCGATAGCAAACAAGTTTTGTGAAGGAAAGTTGCAAAGAACTTTGAAGAGAGAGTTCAAGAGAACGTGAAATCGTTGAAGTGAAACCGGAGAGAATTGACGTAGTCTGGTGGATAAGTATTGCAAGAATCGTATTCATATATTTGAATATGATCAAGTAGTATGTATACCATCAACGACCGTGCTGACAGTATCGGACAGGACCCCGAAAGGACAATAACGCTTCCGTTCCCCACTGCATACACCTGCGGTATGGAGTTTTGCAAATATCTCAGCATCATTGAAGTTATATTTCACAATGTATCCTCAGACTATATAGACCTTTTAAACTATAACCTCAGCTCAACTGGGTTCATTGCCGATTTGGGCCCCCAGATCCATCCCGCTGACGGGTGATTGCTGATGGCAAAAGATCGATAGAACTAGCTGAGAGACAGGCGAAACGAACCTCCTTCACTCTAGAGTGGGGCAATTGACACAAGACCTACCTGGTACGATAAAAATACCGTCTATATATATTAGTATAACGCAAGTCTACTTAATCATGAAAAAATCTGTTTCTTCTCTTCCACAATATCACGGAAGTCCATATTTACTACTCTGAAGACATTTACTGCCTTGTCGTGGCTGAGTGATGTTCTTGGGTGTCGGACTGTGGCGTGAAACGGGTGATTCATTCCCTAGCATGGTCTCGCATTTCATTTCATTTTCATTTTTTTTTCACATTTCACAGTTCATTCACTTCCAATCTCCAGGGCTGAGGATTGGCAATGAACATATCTGGGAGGATGCAATCATTGACTTCATACATCGTTAGGCACTTGACAGTCGATGTATAGGCTAAATACGCGTTCAAGAATATCTACGATGCTCAACAAAGACGGATTCAAAGCTCACCTCTAAGAGATTGATCATCATGAAATATTTTTCCATTATCTACCTAACAACTACATTGTTATGACATTGACGCAAAGCCTCAAAATTAATAGTTTTTATGCTAAAATGCGCTGCTTCACAATCTTCTGACTGCTAAGTAAATAAACAAAAGGATAGAAAGTGCTTATATCCGGTAGACTTAGGTAAAACTCCAGCTGATATTGTGGAAGAAGCTTCTGTGGACGAGAATATTACACATTCTCATCCAAAAACTTAGTTATGGAGAAGTATCCACTTGCCACATATCCGAAACAAGGAGTGATGAAGATGTCAGGTTCAAAGGACTCAGTTGACAAATAATGCGCTCTACTGTAGAAAAAGTAATTTAAAGGTCGTTATCGCATTCTTTCTATGCTAACTGGAGCGCACTTTTTGAGGCTGATCTTGTTGAATATGTTAACATGGTAAAAGTCTAGACTTTTGTCTGTTTCTTGTCTTTGTGTGATCACATTAGCTTCGAGCACTTGCTTTTATCGTGGTAGTTAACATGTTTTTGTGGAATTCTTGTAAAACCGATTTCACTAAACTCGGCTTGTATATCTTTGTGAAATAAGCTACACTAGTATATGTTATGGTAGCCTAGACTAAATTGAGACTGCATTTGTGGTCAGAATAGTTATGTTTGAAAATGTTTTTTTTTTGGTTGAAAGACTGCTTTACTCTAGTGGTATCAGCTTCGTATGCGACAAACTCCTTAGTAGTGTTTGCTATATTTTCTTCAGATACGGCTACATTTACAAACTCACAGTGAATGTGGTTATTGTAGGAAAACATGACTATAATGTCGATACACTGGCAACTCTTAATTTTGTGCTGCTGTCCATTACACTTACCGATTTTTTTTACTGTGTTTATCATTTCGATACTCACGTATAGCTTGCTGCGTTCTAAACGTGAGGCTGAGTATACTCACGGGTAGCTTGCCAGGATCTCCCAAAGTGGACATGGAGCTCATTTGCTAGAGGCGACTCCTAACCGCCTCCCATATATCTCTTTGACTCGTGGAATACAATCTGCATAAACTAGAACGCACCCACACACCCGTGCATGAATACGCCTCGTAAATGCAGAAAGTATGTGCCAGATATGTGCGCAGCAGAAACAGGGGGTCTATCCCCTGGACCACCTGCGTCTCAGGGAAGGAGAGGTCGCTTTTGGTCCGCGATCAACCACCTATTCGCCACATGGGGACGCGCCACGTGGCTTCGCGACTATCCGGCTATCGGGATCTCTCATATGAGGGAATTCCGTGGGCAAGGAAGACTGCATAATAGTGAAGCGAAAATTCTGCGTAACCGATGTAGCTGTTGTCCCGAAATTCTGCACGAGATCAGACCACCTTCTTTTCCCTGCAAGATTTCATTTCTCGTAGAAAGAATAAAAAGCCGTTAGATTCAAAAAACCATGTCCCAAAGTCGTCATAAACTGGGATTCATTCAGTTCATATTGTTGAGAAGACGCCGTTCTTGATAACATCGAAGAGGAATACGATCGGCTTATTCGAAGTCTTCACGTTATCGCTGTGAAAGCTGAGATCTCGAAAGTCACCAGAATACATCTCTATCCAGAAACATTCGAGCTCATTCGCCAGCGTGGGGTCGCGCGATCTACAGGAAGTCACCAACTCACGTCCGAACTTGCTGAAATATCAAAACAATCGGTAAGAGATCTTAAAGAGAGAAGAACAGCAGATATGATGGAAGTTGTCTAGTTTAGAGTCTAGGGAAATCTTTCATAAGGGTAACCGAAACTTCTTCAATTACAAGACCAAGATGATTGCACTCCGACGCCCATACCAAGCAATCACAGCATCCAGATGGGGAGTGGAGAAAGTTGTTCACGTTTACTACTCAGATCTTTTCAATAGCCACGTCTTCATACCCTCATGTGAAATAAAAGAGGATGAATATGTCGTTTCGCCTGTTCTCCCTTCTGAAGTCCGACATGCTATTTGGTAAAAAATCGAACAACACTAGATTCGGACAGAATGACCGGGCACCTGAAGAACCTTCTGCCAGTCCTCATAAACACACAGGTTCGCGTTTTCACACATTAACTACCTGAATGCAAGGTCCCTACTCAGTGGACCGCGATATCGGCAGCTGTCGCCCAATATGCTTGTCGTCTATGGTTTACAAACTTTCCACTCGAGTCATCTAAGCAGGATTGACAGACCACTGGACGAAGGACCCACGTACACACGATAACAACACTCACTAAACTATAAAGTAGTACAAAAAAGTTCTCTATCTCACTCTCATCTATCTAAAGAAAGCTTTTGGCTCAACTGAGATAAAAGCAGTCATAGAAATCCTTGGCGTCCAGAAGGTCCCTACTCAGTGTATAAAGATTTTTGATGAGGTGTGAAAAAATTCCAGTACCCAATTATCATCATTCTACAACGATGTTAACGTCTATGTCAAAAGAAGTTATTCAGGGCGATACCATCTCGTCAAAATTATTTGACATCACACTCGAGAACGTTATACGAACACTGAAATGCTAACGACTTCGTTCTTAAAACAGCAGGTATTGACCATGCGAAAAGAATGCTTTCATATTTTGATAACGCCTGTGAAAAGATTAGTGTTCGATGAAATCTCACAAAAACGATGTTCAAGAAGAACGGATTGGTTACGTATGCCCCATTAGCTCTGAGCGGATTGAATATCTTCGAATGCTCTAGTTACGTCCGGGAAATCAACATGATAAACGGCTTAACTCCAAAGCTGAGCAGGACTAAGCGAGCGGACTTCAATAGTATCGGGGATGTAGTGAAAAGGGCAAAGAACAACGATTCCGTTCACACTTTTTGGACTCAACGATTCTTTCTGCCTTAACTTATACGTCGGAAACCTGGTTGCTACGTAAGGAGGATGAAAGGCCACTTGGCGTGATAAAGAAGAGTTTCGAAGCCTCGATCTACGTCAGCGATCAGTGACCGGAGACGCCGTTTTGTACGCCAAACTTTCGAAAATAAGAAGCGCAGGAAACGTAATGGGTATGAACGACAACCAGTGAACAAGAGCCGTTAGTGACTGGATTCCTGAGGTGTCAAGCGCACAGTAGGAAAACCATTGTTTCGAAGGTCAGAGTTTTTCGAGAAAACCCCAAATGAAAGATATGATCAACGAATCCCTAGAGCGTTCTGGACTCACTGGACCACTCTGGCATACGGAAGGGAGAAATGGGAGATTTACTGGAACTCGCTCCGGTTAACGGGACGACAGGTGATGCGATAGAAGTGTTACTGTCACACTGCAATTGTTTCAATCCAATGCGACTCCAAAGATTTCAGTCAGATAATATTTGTAGTCTGTGCGTTTGACTTTAATCATTACATCTTTTGAGATGACGACGTCACATGACAGCGTCAGTCACGATGAAGTTTTCTCAGTGCCCGTGCGTAATTTCATCAAAGTGAACAAGATTTTAACTATTGGCGCTATTGTTAAGTGAACTTAGCTTTTGAATATACCTATAGTTTTGTCGTTTCCAGATGGATAGTGTGATTCCAACTCTCGAATACCTCAATTCCTTAAATATTTC